GTTAATTTGTTAATTAGCTAGTGTTGTGTAATAATTAGTTAATTCGATTCTGTATTATTTATTCGGACCCTCCGAGAGAGGGCAATATTGTAATAAGTGTGCGTGTGTGTGATGTATGTCTTCCAACCCCATGCCTTTCTCCCTTTTGTTTACCAGCTTATGATGGTTAGTTTAGGGCACGTTTCAATTAGCATCCTTATGCTCGTATGTTTGCATCCATTCATCTGTTTTGCATGCACCGGGCTCGGTGCACCATACTAACTGCATCGTATTTCAATTCCAAGTTGAATACATGTTACCTGTAGCATCTCATATGCCATCTTAGAGTAGCCGAACCTATCTTAGTTGCATTCTTGCATGTGTTGCATTAGGCATCTCAGCATAATTAGGATTCATGCATGTTTTCTAATTAGCTTTCTTTTTTGGCTCAGAGTACTCGGTGAGTGTTTATGCTTTAGCATCCTCGCATGTGTGTGAGTGACTGCCATGATAGCATGCTTGCCATGAGGCTAACTGATTATGTGATATACCTGCCTGAATGCCTGTGGGAGAAGGTTGAATTATTTAAATTGGAACAATTCATCGATTGCGAGTTTTAAGCCCACTTGAGAGTGGCAAATCACCATGTTTTCTAAGCCCACTTGAGGGTGGCAAAATCCACATTTTAGCCTACTTGCGAGTAGCAAACTGCTTTCAAAAACAAACATGAGATGTTTTATTCCAACTTAGACGATCCAGTCTATACTTGTATGCTGTGCGCATCACGTAGCAATTCTAGGCTAATAAACCGGAATAAGAGCACATATGTTTTCAAAAAACAAGATATCATGTTTAGTAGTGGCCGATCTTTGATCGGGCGAGTGAGGGTGCTCATTGCATGACCTTCCCCAATCGTACCCAAGTTCCCGAGCCGAGGCAACTTTGGTGATGATGGACACGTGGCCTTAGGCACGAGTCAGGATTTCCTAAATTCTCCCAAAATAAAATATTTAGGTGGCAACTCTGTATCTGGCAAAGCAGTCCATGTTTGGCACTTCTTTCTAAAAATCAATTTTTCAAAACGATTTGTCAGATTTGGACTCTTTGGTGATTTATCAATCTCGTATTGCACTTTGCGAGATCAGATTAAGAACCGTGACATTGAGTCCGAACTGTAGTAAGCCCAAATGAACAAAACGGGATTTTTCCCGGGACATTCGGGGACGTCTACAAACACGCTACCTGGACAATTTGTGCAGAATAAAAGTGCTTTGAAGGGTAGTCCACCGGCTTCCAAAGCAGTTGTGGAAAATCTTATGTCTGTGGCGTTGACAAAGAAAGAGTTACAAGAAAACAATGTAGTTTGCGCGGTTTGTAAAGTTAAGATTTTGGTGGAGGAAAAAGTGACAAGGCTACCTTGCCGTCATCATTAACACGGGGACTGCATTGTCCCATGGTTGTGTATTCGTAATATAAGTCATGTTTGTCGGTATGAGTTACCCACAGACGATCTAGATTATGAGCAGAGGAAAACCCAAAGGGGGAGTCTTGATATCCCACAAGATTTTAAGGTCAGATACAATTCTGAACTATTACCATGATATTGTGTTTTCTTTATGTAAATAATATCTTAAGGGGACTTTACATCGTTTTAGTGAAAATGGAGTTTTTGTTGATTTCGTATGTTGTATTGGCAAGATTGTTAAAAGTTAGGCTACTAGATTCGGTTTCTTTGATACAGGCATTGGATGAATTGCTTTCTATGTAAACTAGGTTGTATCCGTGCATATACACCAAAAACTGAATATATGAATCAAATAAGAGCTTATAAGGGTGGGTGGGTGACAATATGATACTATTTGTCTGTTCTATTGCATGTATGATCATTGCTTCATGCTAGTAGTGCTGACCAAATTTCTCAATAGTTTTTAGCTTTTGAAATTTTATGTTCTAATAAACCTAACCAATAATGTAGCAAGTAGCAATCTTCAACTCAACTAAATGTTTTTAATCTGCTACTTGGGGTTTAGTATACCATACTTTTTTTTTCCGCACTATTTATTTATGGCCATGCTATAGACCATCCTGTATTTCCTGATTGTTCTGATCATCTCTGAACAATTTAAACTTTAACTGCAGATCACTCATTCATGTGGCTGAATAATTGATCTTAACTGTATGCTATTAATTATCATATGACATGTTATCTTCTAGTGTTTCCAACATGTAACTATCAATAGGAACTAGACCTATCAAGGCTTAGTCAATTTGCAAGCCAAAGCACTTGTGTGTTTGCTAGATTTGTGATGGTTGGCTCTCTGGATGTTGCCTTGCCATCAAATGGGCCTTTTGTTCAATTGATTATGAGCGTAACATGCAATATAGTGTGGCTATGTCTAAGAAAATGTTTTTGGTTCAATGACAAAACAGTTGATATGTTTTACCAATATTTATAACTATTTTAAATTTTGGTGAATTATGGGTTTGGCTACTTGGGTAACCAAATAAAATTTCATTTTGGCCCATTTCATGTTAATGGTCAAACTAGTTTTAACCAGATTTTGATAAAGTCACCAGCTACCTATATGTCCACTAGCCATTACAATTGTTAAGGGAATACAGGAAGTAATGAGGGACAATGCAGTCATTTAACATTTTTAATCCAAATCAGCACAAGGGGAAACAAACAAGGGATAAGGTCAGAAAAGGTTATCCTGGACCTCATCCCAAGTCCATAGAAACAACCTCTCTCTAAATGTTCTTAGAATAGTCTCCCATATGAATTGGTACTCAACGGAATGGAGGATCTCCATTACAGAATCCAATGGTTGCTGAAAAACTACCTCAATAAGTATTTTGACTTATTTTTTTAAAAATTTGAAATAATGATAGCTTATTTAGTCATTGGGTATGTTATAGAGAGGATCACAATCTGGACTCAACAGTCAACACCTCTCTATTCGGTAATGAAGTCTCATCTATCTAAGCAACCTTAAATGACTGTGGAACTGGCTCAGATTGCATCTTCATTGTAGCAATAGCTTATTTAGTGACCACATTCATTGTACGGGAAAGTCTATAGTACATTTTGTACAAAAAAAATGTACGGTACATACAAAATCAATGGTTAAGATTGAGCCACATCATTAAAAGTGACCTGCTAAACAGGTCACTTTTTATAGTTATGAGCTAAAATCATATTTCTTCATAACTATAATCAAATTGATCATAACTTAGCTATAACTACATCTCATAACCAACACCATTTTGTTCATAACTAATATCACATATTTCATAACCACATCTCATAACCAACACCATTTTAGTCATAACTAACATCACATATTTCATAATCATAATCACATATCTCATAACCAACACCACTTTGATCATAACAAATATCACATATCTCATAACTATTGATCACATATCTCATAACCACATCTCATAACCAATCCCTTTGAGTCATAACCAACATCACATATCTCATAACCACCAGTCACATATCTCATAACCAACACCTTTTTGTCATAACTAATATCACATATCTCATAACCACTAATCACACATCTCATAACTACTACCCACATACATCATAACCACATCTCATAACCAATCCATTTGAGTCATAACCAACACGGATATCAGGAATATGCTTTACA